AGGGCCAGATAGCAAGTGTTCTTGGTTTTGACCCTATAGCTTCTTCTTTTTTTTTTTTTTTGAGACAGAGTATCACTATGTCACCTTTGGTAGAGGGCCAGCATCACAGCTCACAGCAACCTCAAACTCTTAGGCTTAAGCAATTCTTTTGGCTCAGCCTCCTGAATAGCTGGGACTACAGGTGCCTTCCACAATGCCAGGCTATTTTTTGTGTTGTTGCAGTTGTCATTGTTGTTCAGCTGGCCCAGGTCGGTTTCAAACTCGCCACCCTTGGTGTATGTGGCTGGCACCGTAAACACTATGCTAAGGGCGCTGAGCCGACCCTACAGCTTCTATTGCAACTGTTCAGCTTTGCAGTTGTTAGTGCAAAGGCAGAGACGAGCCATAAATGCACGGGCGTGACCGTGTTCCAATAAAACTTCATTTGTAGACACTGAAATATGAACTCCATATAATTTTCATGTGTCACAAAATACTATTATTTTATTGATGGTTTTCCAACCATAATGTAAAGACCATCCTTCACCCAAAGGCCATACAAAAGCAGGCAGGGACCTCTGGCAAGAGTTTGCCACCTCCTGACTTAAGTAGATGAGATTGGCCAGAAGCACTGCACCAGCCAAGCATTCTCCTTCAGGGCAAATGATTCAGCTAGCGTTAAAGATAAGTTTCATCCTCAGGCATTTCTTGAATTGGCTAATAAATAACTCCTGCAGGTTGGTGTGCATGCCCAGAGAGGAATGATAGGCCCTAGACAGTGTGACTCCAACCCCTCAGAGGACAGCTACTGGGTTCCATAAGGCCTTTGCCTAAGATGGCAGAAGTCACGTCCACAGGGGCAGAGTGAAAATGTTTTATACCTAGAAACGTGCCTAACCAGCAATCTCAGCTAACCTAGACCACAGAGAAGCGGAGCCAGATTTTAGGTGACTCCACAGGGCTATGGCCCTGTTGCCCTTGAGCCATGTCCTTCCTCCGGCCCTACCCGCACCCCCATCTGTGGAAGCATGCTGCTGGCATTCCAGGTAAGAGTTCAGCTCCTTCTTTTCCAACTCTGGAGAAGCTTTCAGCTTAAATAGGTGAAAAGTTCTTGGGGGTAAAAAGTCATATTTGCTCAGTCTTTGTGAGCTCTGGGCAGGGCGGGAACCGTCCCAAGCTTCCTATCTCTTCCGATTATTAAGGACTTTCTCCCGTTTGTAGGTTCAGTACTAAGTAAAATGATTCAAAGAGATGACATTTATCTTTCAGCTTCACCTTTTCTCCTACTGTAAGTAAAAAGAGTCCCTACTCCAGGGACAATAAAAATTTAAGCAACTTGACCAGTCATCCTGTTTTACAGCCTTTTGGTCTGAAGTCTGTGGCTACCCAGCTGGCTACAACCAGCACCTGGCAGACTCTGGCAGCTTAGAGGTCAACTCAAGTCAAACTTCCTCATTGCCAAGCTAAAGCCTCCACCCCTGGGAAAAACTCTAGCTTCATTACTATAGCATGCGACCTATTTGCTACCATGACAAACCAACCACACGCACACAACCAGAGCCCTCCCCTACAAGGGATGGGACATGCCTTTTTCTTTCTCTATTGTCCCATAAAAACCCCACACCACTTTCCCTGTGAGAGACACAGCTTTAGAAAATACACGAGGTGCTCTCCTTAACTTGCTACAAGTAATAAAAACTCCTAATGATCAAGACCCACATTCTCATAGAGTTGTTACTCACCAGGCAAACAAACCCTGATCTTTGGGGCAACACATCTGGTGCCCCGGGACCTGGTCTGACTCCCCTCTTACACTCCCAGTGAGGAAGCAGTAGGCTGTGGAAGCCTGACCCAGCCTAACTGTCTAAGTTGTTGGCGGTGGTTGGAGAGGGAGCTGGGACACCCCCACTGGCGTCCAGTCCACTGGGCCATAGGACCTCCCCAAAGGAGCGGAAGTGGCCCCTTCGAGGTGGTAAGTGGTAGTGGGATCCGTGGACTGAGTAAAAGAGTAGCTTGAGTCGGATCGTTTGGACTCTGGGTTGTCTGGGGTAGAATCTAGGTTATGGGATCCAGGGTTGTCAGAAGAGGGAACTTCCCTTCAGGTCATCTTAATAAGGGGAGCCTCCAACATAAAGACATCGAGGACAATCGTCTTTACGTTTGGATCCTTGTCAGGGACAGCTGCAAGACTAAGTGTTTTGGTTTGTGACCTAAGTGCATGTGAAGTCTGGACTCCCCTCCCTCTGTTCTGTGGTGGCCCCTGAGATACTGGGCTTCAGTCTTACAGAAATCACTGTCAGGCCACCAAGGGGTTGATGAGAAGGGCGGTGTGAGGGGGCCATGAAAGGACAGAGACCAAGTGTGCACCCCCCATTCAATTAATCCACCAGCCTTCCCACTGCCTCAGCTCATCCCTTTCTACTCCACAGCTTCCTCAGCACGATGTCCTGGGCGGCCACCCCGATGGAGCATCAACAAGAAAAGGGCGACCCCTCCCCAGCCCCAGGACCTCCACTCTGGGGTGGCCAAGGTGTGGTTGCAAGCAGAAAGAACTAAGAATATTCTGTGGGTTAAAACTGAGGGAATCTCTGTCACTACACCCCCCAACAGAAGCCTCTTGGAAGGTGAAATCAAATTCTACACAAGGACCCTAAATTATGGGGAACCCGCTTTCCATACCGGCAGAGGGCCCCTTAGAAAGCTTGCGTTAAAAACTCTTTAGGAACCACCTGTTACCAGAAACAGTAAAATGATATTTTACTGCAATACAGCCTGCCCCGGTTAATTCTATTACCTTTGGAAGTACCCCAGTATTTCCTGAAATGTCGAAAAAAAAAAAAAAAGACTGGAGTAGAGACCATAATACAATTCGCTAATTGGACCTATTTCTCAAGAAACAAGACAATGGGATAAAGTACCCTGTATACGACGTTTTATGACGTTGATTATTAGGGCCCTCTATCAAAGCCCATCCTTGAAAAAAAACTGCAGGGTACATCAACTGGCTAGAGGGCCAGAAAGAAAAATGTTGTCACCTTTTAAAGGCTGTCGAAAAGAAGAATCAGCCATGTGGGGACTCACAGGAAAGGGGGCGAGTCCGCCCCTCTGTGCCCCTCTAGAGGACAAGGGAAGCCAGGTCCTCTAGCCCCACGGAGAACTGAGACCTTTACCAACACAGGAACTAGTCCTCTCTCTTCCTCAGGCACTAAACCCTCAGTACCTGCAGGGGAAACCAGGGCCCTCTCCTGCGCTCTCAGGCTCTTCCAAGCTAGTCCATGGCAGTGAGAACACACACAAGCCCTCTCTCCAGGGTTCCGGGTCTCCATCCTACTTCTCATGCTCCAGAAGGACAAAGGGAACCCTGGCAAAGCAGCTCCAGGGGAAAGCAAACTGGGCCCTGAGTAAGATTCCAAAAAGGACCTCTGGTACACATTCCTGCTTCTTCACCAGTGTGTTAAGTTTCTTACACATTCTGACCCTGGGGCTTCCAGAGCCCAGAGGGCCAACAACTGACCATCCTGACAATTAGTCAGAGGCTTTACTCTTACCTGCTTGATTAAGCTACAGCTCAGGAAGCTATTTGTCAATAAAAAGAAAACCAATTAGCTGGATTTTTTGTTCGGCTGAATTGACAGTCTAAATCCCAGAGTCCCTGATGATCAGAATAAAGACAGCGCAGTGAAGAAGGAGAAAAACACAGTTTGGTAGATTCCCAAATTTCCATTCTCCAAGGGTGCAGGTGCTAACAGTGGGAGGCAATTGTAACCCAGAGGTAAGAGGGCAGCCTCCTGGGGCCTCTCATCCTAAGAATACTCACACTGGGAATTAACAAACAAACCCTAATTTTGACAAAGAATAAGCAGAGACACCCCCCCACACACACACCCCATACAAAACTTATTTATACTGGAAACATGAATTTTAATTCAAGCTAATTTTCCTATCAGAGTCATGATTAATTACCCAAAGACCTGTAAAACACTCTTTTTATATCTGGAGTACTAAATATAATAGTATCTTCAAGGCCAGAGGTAGATAGATTTATTTACAAATAAATAAATTGGAAGCCAATTCTATAAGCTTTAGAAGTGCAATGAAAATTTTGTCTTTCTGGCTCGGTGCCTGTAGCTCAGCAGCTAGGATGCCAGCCATATACTCCAGAGTTGGCAGGTTCGAATCCAGCCCGAGCCTGCCAAACAACAATGAAAACTACAACCAAAAAATAGACAGGCATTGTAGCAGGCACCTGTAGTCACAGCTACTTGGGAGGCTGAGGCAAGAGAATCACTTAAGCCCAGGAGTTTGAGGTTGCTGTGAGCTGAAGCCACAGCACTCTACCCAGGGCGACACAGTGAGACTCTGTCTCAAAAAAAAAAAAAAAAAGAAAGAAAGAAAGAAAATTTGATCTTTCTGAAAAGTAAATAAAGGTTGAAAAAAATAAACAAAACCCTTAGAAATAATAATCTTGAGTAGTGTAAAAATATTACTCCCAATAAAAACTGAACATTGAAAGCATCACTTGTTATGGACACAGTTTTGAAATTACATTTAATAAAAGCAAGAAGGTTATGGTCCAACAAGAACATATTCTACACAGACAGCCTTGGCAGCAGCACATGTTAGGCAGCCGCTGTGTTCTGGATCTGGCTGTGCCCCTGACTATTTTAAGCTCATTATCTAATCTTGCCAAGAGTGGCCTCCCTGGATGGTCACTCAGCAAATACCTGCTTGGCAGAATTAATAGGCAGGATTACTGCTCCAGCCCTTACCGGATGAGATGCCTCACTGCAGCATCGAACTGCAGAAACATCACCTCCCTCCGGAGGAGGAGTGTCTGGGCCACCTGGGCAGGGTCCTGGGGGTTATCGAGGCTGTCAATCATTTTCTGTAGTTCTTGAAGTTCACAGGCTAGAAGATGGACAACATTTCAGTAAGACAGTGTGAAACCCAGGTTATCATAGCTAACCCAGTAAAACATCAAGTCACCTCCAGAGCCAGCTTGTCACCTAAACAGACTTCCTTTCCTTTGTGGGTATACTAATTATATGTTTTGCAAGGCCAGCAAAGCCTTAGGCACTAGAACCCAAGGTCTAATTTATCTCTCCTTCCTTCCTCCCTCAGGAAGATAAAAATTTCCTTTGCTTTTCAGCACAATAAGATCATGCTGTTGAAAGAAAAGTTTTAAGATGTATAAGGCTGTGACCTCAGAATAGACCAAAAAAGAGAAATCACATAGTCCTCGGGATACCCATTAGAGACTTGAAGTTAGTGTCGATTATAAATTAGAACTCATTTCTTGTTGCCACGCTTTTCAAATCAGCCCTCCCTGTCCCTGGCTCATGAATTAAAGAAGACTCAAGACCGTCCAAAGGGAGTAAAACACACACGTGTACACTTATGTTTATAAATATGTGTAATATGTATACATCTCCTCAGAGATTCTAGTCAATTTGAGAGGAGGTGTGGGGAATCACTAGTTGGCTTATTCCTTAGACCCTTACCTTAAGAATTGGCCTGTGTATAAATAGGTTTACATTCATTTTAGGTGAAAATTTATCTTAGGGGCCTTTTGGGGTACTCAGTGCTGGGTCGTGGAATGTGGCCTGGGTCAGATGGCTGTCCCAGCTTGCTCCTGGCACAGAGAAGGAGGAAGTCAGCACAGGAGAGCACAACAGAAAATGATGAACCCTTAGGGAGCATGCCTGGGCCACACTCACAGGGCTACCAGGCCGTCAGCTCGTCTGAAATGCTCGTTACCCCTGTGAGGACAGTGATAGTTTTCTACCCTGAGAGGACATCCCTGTTGTGGGAAGAGGACTGTGGAAGTTATTATTAATGTCTTGATACATAGCTTAAGGCAGGAGTGAGATGGGACAGCGTTTCTGGAGATGCTCTCCTGACAACTGCTCTGGCTGCAAGCAGCCCCCTAACCCTCCATAGCTTGGTCCTGGGCCTCCTCCAGCATCAGCTGGCTAGGGGAGCAGAGGATTGCAGGAGTGGGGAAAGCTGTCCTAGGAGCTTGGGAGGGCAGGCCCAGGGCTGAGAACAGCAGCTAAGACTTGCAATGTATTCCTGGCTCAGGAAGAGACGAGCAGTCCAGATTTCACAACCATGTGAGATTTTACATGCAATAGAAAAATGTTTTTTATTCTTTTTTCCAACCCCAGATGATTAAGTCTAATCATCAAACTTTTTATGGCTCCTCTACATCTAATGGTCCCCTTGGGCTGACAAGAAGAGTCACCAGAAGAGGAATCACAGCACAGCAGATGATGCAAGCACTTTTGTGGGGGTGGAAGGGAGGCGGGGCGGTCAGTAAGTCTCATCTGTGCAGGCCAGGTGCGTCTGGGCTACAAGGAATATACGCTGTCAGGCTAAGCAGCAACCAGGGGGGAATGTTCACAATCCTTTCAATGACAATGGAAAAAAGGAGATTATAAAATTTCATACACCCTGTGATTAAAGCTCTGTCAAATATAAATTATATTTGGACAAGGGCTAGAAGAAAGTAAAGGTAAATAAAAATATTTCGCTTCCTGGAGTGGTTAGATCATAGGTAATTTTTCCTCTTTTCATCATTTCCTTTCTTTACATAGTTTTGTTTATATACTTTGGCATGTGATCACTTCCCAGCAAAATAGTTAGGAAACTAGTTCCTACGTAAGCACTATCACTAAAATGCAGACGTGGAGGTGGAACTACCCTCCCTTTATTATTTCACTGACTTTCAGATCCTCATTCTGGCTTTTCTTTCTTCGTGTGGTCTCAGTGCTTGGTGGCCTGGCTGTGAGGATGGGGCAGGTGATCACCGGGCAGTGATGGAGTAAGGTTGGGAGGGGACCCTGTGCTGAGGAACATCAGGAAAGGAGACTTTCTTATGTCCTTCCCTAGGAGGATTTTGTTTGGGACGAGAGAGAGATAAGGAGAGAAAGGGACAAGGACAGAGAGAGGCGGAAAGAGATCACAGTGGCCCCATCTCCATGTGAAGACTCAGAGCCAGCACATTTTGTTCCTAGTTTGCTTTGAACATTCCTCACACCTTAAGTTGAGTGTCTAGTATTGGGGCTTTATTGGCCTCCTAATCCTTTACAAAGGAAATCACAGTGTCAACTCCCACACTCTGATGACATCCTCTGCTTCCCCCTGACTCCGAAGGAAGTCACTGGCTTCTGGGAAGGAGAGACCTTCCCTGTGTCCTTAGAGCTAGTCTGCGGTATCTAAGAGCTATTTTCTTCAATCAAGTGGGAGGACCAGAAACTGAAACTCTGTTTCCCTTTTAAAAAATATTTTAAAGCATATATGTCCACAAAAGTAATTTTATCTAACTCTAAATAGTTCTGTAATGGCTTAAAGGTACAGACTTTGATTTCATCTTTCACCTGTGTTCTCTTTGCCTCTCCTGGGAACGACCCCAGAAAATATGTGGTCTAGTCTTTTTAAAAAGATGATTATGTTCGAGTGAGGTTTTGTTATTTTTTCTTTCAGTTTGCCCTTTATTTTCAGCGAAACAGAGCATGCAAAACCTTGCACCTTCTCCCTGGAACACACTGTGACAAGGCGTGCATCTCTAAATGCACACTTTGGAAAGCCTGAGCCTCATATACCTCAATGGTTTGCAGGTTGGGGGCACATAAATAACAAGAAAACAATTTCCTCAACGCTTGGGCCTCATTTCCCACTGGGGGATGGGAGGGTCCACTTCTTTGGACTGGCGCTGCGCAGCCGGCCTGCCTGCTGCCTTCATCAGCGTTCTTTCCTTGTCTTCCCAGGATTGTCCTTCCCATGTCTCCGCTAATCCAAGTCCATTCCTCCCCCCATCTGCGCAACTGTCCCCACGTCAGGCTCTGCCCAGGGCACTCTTTACTCTTAGCTGCTGTAGGACTTCCTTTGGGGTGACCTTGCTTAGAAACAGGGCTCTGGGCCGGGCACAGTGGCTCACACCTGTAATCTAAGCACTTTGGGAAGCTGCGGCAAGTGGGTCACTTGAGCTCAGGAGTTCAAGACCCCCTGAGCAAGAGTAAGACCCTCATCTCTACTAAAGTAGAAAAATTAGCTGGCTGTTGTCATGGATGCCTGTAGTCCCAGCTACTTGGGAGGCTGAGGCAAGAGAATCACTGGAGCCCAGGAATTTGAGATTGCTGTGAGTTGTGATGCCACGGCACTCCACCCAAGGCTACACAGTGAGACTCAGTCTCAAAACAAAAATCAAACAAACAAAAATACCCATAGTTCTGGCTCTCTCTGCTTCCTTTTAACTCCATATAACACCTGCCTCCCATCTCCAGGGCAGGAGGGCCCTTTTCTTGGCCTCTTTCCTTTTGCCTGTGCCTCACTTACAGCCTTGTCCCACACCTGACACCCAGCAGCTCCCGTAAGAGTGTCTTAGCTTATTTTCTGAGTACACCTCATTTATAAGAGTCCCCAAATCAGTAAAAGAAAATCTAAGAGTGCTTTGGAGTGGCACCGATCTCTAGGTGCTTGTCTCGAAGACTTGCTAGTCATGCTGAGAGCTCATTAGTCTGCAATGGTTCTGTGCCTTCTGCTGGGGTAGCACTCTGGCCTTCCCCTTTCCACGACACCGCTGCTCAGACACAGGCACCTACCTTTCTCCCAGATCACCACCTGCCCTCCCTTTGTCCCCCACCTGAATGTTCACCCAGCCCTTCCGTGTTCCTTAGCACAACAGAAATCCACCTGCCAGAGACTCCAGGGTGTCCTACAAATGTATTTCCTTTATGAGCCCATCAGCCTGAGGGGAAAAGGTACAGATTGTATCACACCTGTTTTAAGACCACTGGGTTTCAACAAGTGTGTGAACTAATTTCTTAGGTTCTTCCCATTCTTTGAAAGCCCTGGCTACTATGCTATGAGATTTTGCTATTAATTGGTTCATATTTATAAGGCTAGTGACATTATTGGGATGGGAGTCACATTATTAAAATAAGATCAATGTCTCTGCTTCTGATAAACATAGCTTACTAAACTTTTCAGTGTCTTTAATTTATCTCATGTGTTTACCTTAGACCTTGGTGCTGAGTCAGAGTTCATGGATTAGCACCAGGAGTATAAAGCTGTTGTCGTTGTAGCTTCATCATTCTTACGACAGAACTATTAGGTCATTGTAGCTAACTAGAGCTGTCTCCAAGCTTCTTAACACCAAGTACTTGGCTCTGAGCTTGTCACATGGGTTCATGAAGGCCAGGAAGGGAAAGGGAATGAGAAAAAATGTAATATTTAATGGGGGCTTATCTATCCTTCTAGAAGTTTTATATACATGTATATTTAGATCCACAGAACATCTCTACAAGATGGGTAGTATCACCCCATTTTACAGGTGGACAAATAGAGACCCAGAGAGTAGAGTGCCCCACCCCCAGTAACCACGTGGCAGAGGCAGGGTAAACCCGGGCCTCCCACCTCCTGCCTTGGTGTGCTTTGTGGTGTGGCCTATAAATGTGGACTCAATCGGGTCAACAGTTTGGAGACAGCAGTGATGAGACTTTTCCTTCGCCCTTCCTATCACTGTCATTTATGAGAAAATCTGGTACTTCTGTCTCTCCGAGTATTAAGAGCTTCATAGAATTTCAGCTAAATGTTGAAGGTGATTTTAATCACTTACCAATGCCCTCCGTTCCGCCCCAGTCACTTCTCAAAGGGTTGGGACTTAGAGGAAATTCGAAACATGCTGGAAAATTGCCAAGTTTAGCAAAACTGAAAAGGTAAGCCACGATGTCGTGGAGAGGAGCTACCAGCTGTAGAGTTAGCGTTAAGGCTCTAAAAGCTGCCTGTGAGGAAAATCGGTATAAGAAAATAAGTTTTAGGATGTTATGAAGAGGCATCTAAAAATATATGAATACTCTTTAGGTCAAGGACAATATCTTTAAATAAGGATATTTTGGTAAACACTTTCCCAGCAGACTCAGGATAATATCTTAAAAAGAGAACAGTAAATCTATTTACGAACAGGAGTTACATGCCTTTGGACAAGGTGATTCATGTAGGGGGTTAAAGCAATGTGTGCCTTTGTTTAAAGTCATTCATGGCCATGAACGCATCATAATGAACTGACATAATGACTGTCAATGAATTACCAGAAGCACAAACAAATTCATAGCAGGTAGTTAGACAACACCTCCTGGGCGCATACCTGTAAGCAAAGTGTACGTGTTTATCAACGTAGTTTAAACCAACACGTAACTAAAAGCCAAACTCTGGCTCTTAAATATCCCTGTTCAAGTGAAGAAAAAGTGAAAAATGAAGACCTGCACTATTTTTAGGCTTGCTTTTTCAAAATCTGAAAGTTCTTCAATGAAAGACGGGGAGAAACCTAGGTTGCTAAACAGGTTTTCACTAAGGAAGGAAACTCAGAATATGCCCCAAATGCCATTTTCAACTTCACATTTGACTTACTTAGCAAATATTTAAGTATTTTATGTATTTCTATATCCACTTTTTAAAAAATGATTCCCAGTCTTACCCACTATCAGTAAGCTAGATAGGGAGAACAACCCCTCAAAAAACAGCAACCTGTTGAGTTGCTGGTGTGACCTCAAACTCTGGCTAGCTTCCATCCATCAGGGTGGAATTTTTTGAAGAGTTTGGGAGGAAATTGAGGATGAGTAAGGAATGTCTGAAGCCTAAATTAATGTTCATTAGTGACCAGGGAGGAATAGAAATCACAAAATAAGGAAGCCCAAGAGGGCTTATACTAAAGCAAGCAAATGTGTTAGGAGCCACGAAAAGATCTCAGTTATCAGATATCTCTAAAAAGAACAAAGATGTTCTCTCCAACTAATGGGTTTAACTATGAAACAAAAAAGAGAAAAGCCAGTTTGCATTCTGGTACACATTTTTAAAAATACCCACCTCTTCTGGCAGAGTTTTGAACATAACCAGCACTTCAGAAGGATGGGGTACGAACCATAAATTGAGGAAGACTTTTCCATCAGCTGACAGCAAGCATCCTGGCCGGGGCTGAAAACTCCTGCAGCATTAGAAGAAAGTACCTGTAGTGCAGCGATTCCCCCCAAGGAGGCTCTGAGCATGACCTGCTCTATTTAGACCACTGCGCTCTGACCACGGAGGCCTGTCACCCCCGCCAGGGCAGCAGCCCCCCTTTTCAGGCCACTCCCAGGGGGCCAGAGTTACTTATAAATCACTCAACAGGAAGAAGAGCAGTTGTGCTGATGGGCTGACATTAGTCTGAGCTGTGTTGGAGGAAGGAGGGAGGCAGGGAGCAGGGTGGTAAGAAAGGAAAGGCAGGCTGGGAATTAGACGGCCAGCACCGCACTGCGTGGTACATATTTTATATCACTTAATTCTTCTAACAGGCTTAGGATGGACCTATTTTTGTTCCTCTTTCACAGCTGAGAAAATTGAAACCTAGAGAGGTTATGTAGACCTCACCTACCCAGCTCCTGAAGCTGGGATTTAAATGGCATTATCCAGCCTGCTCTAGAATCACCAGGCCCTATTTTCCTTCCCTCGACACCATGTTTCTTGCCTGGTTTTCCAGCCTCTGGCCTTCTTTTCCTTCTTCCTCCTCTCTCCCCTTCTTCTCTTCCAAGTACCTTAGCATTTCTTAGGCAGCGGTTCAGCCATCTCTTTGTTGCAGGCTCGTACACAAACATGTTGTCCTTATACATCTGTTTTGAGGATTCCTACAAGCCTAGGGACCCCCACTCGGCCTGAGAAACAGTATGTGGCCTGCACCCTTGAAGCATGATGCAGACCTCCCCGGTGGCCCGCAGAGGAACCACCACCCTGAGCTGCACATTATTCAATGCCTTGCTTTTCTTTGTAGTTTTATCCCAAATGGATATGCCATTAGGAGATGTTGTGTTGGGTTTTGCCTGTTTTTGACCTTCATGCAAATATGAACTCACGATTTTTCTTCTGCACTCCCAGAGAGAGGTTGCATCTTGCCCTTGGTTTCTATATCATCCCAGGAGTAACACAGCCCCCTCTAGCCTCACTTGAATGGATTCCGTGCCATCAAGTCTAATTAACTGTTTGCTGGGTGTGCAGCAAAGTGGTGACTTGTGCAGTTAACAGGTGTGGAACTTGGCATTGGAGGACCTGAATTTGAGTCCAGTTTCCATCATCTGTAGCTGTATAGCTTTAGACTAATTGTCTTCCTTGAGTTTTTTGATCCGTAAAATGGGAGGAATGATTCCTAACTCAAGATTGGTATCTAAAATAATTTTTTAAAAGAATATCAAGCATGTAAAGAGTATTTCATAAATTGCGGAGTTGCTGTGCAAAGCTTATTATTATGATGAGGGGTGGGCGGCTGGCATCTACTGGAGCATAGGGCACTCTCAGGGTAATTTGTAAGCAGAGGGGCCTTGAGCACACCACACTCCTGAGGGGATATCCTAGGATAGAGTGTTATATGGGGCAGCCAGAGACTAGTGCCAACTCTGGTCCGTCTTGGTTATGCCAGAACAGTCCTGACAGAGAGATGAATAGCAGGAATAAGTATGCAGCCGATGTGGAGCCCCACTTGCATGCTGTCCCCTGCCCAGGGCGTGTGGGGCCAGACCTCTGCTCTTCCCGCTCTTCCCCTAGCCCTGGGCCACCTCCCTCCTTCTCTGGCTACAACCACCCTCTGTTTGCTCTTGACTCCTGAGTCCACACTGGCATGTCTGGTGCCCTTCCCAGCTCCAGAGTTCCAACTGTATCATCTTAGCTGGCAACAACTCAGACCAACTCAATCATAAAAGTCAAGAACTGAATTTCTTTCTTTTCTTTTCTTTTCTTTTTTTTTTTTTGAGACAGAGCCTCAAGCTATTCCCCTGGGTAGAGTGCTATGTCATCACAGCTCACAGCAACCTCCAACTCCTGGGCTCAATCAAGTCTCCTGCCTCTGCCTCCCAAGTAGCTGGGACTACAGGCACCAGCCACAGTGTCTGGCTATTTTTTGGTTGCAGCCATCATTGTTGTTTGGCGGGCCTGGGCTGGATTCGAACCCGCCACCTTAGGTGTATGTGGCTAGCACCTTAGCCACTTGAGCCACAGGCACCGAGCCAAGAACTGAATTTCTTATCCCTTTTTGCCCCAGTCTTATGCTAAAAGAAACATAATCTCCTCCTCTGCCTTCATAGTCCCCGAAGACAGAAATCAAGCCATCACTGTTAGAGTCCCTTCCACCCCTACTCCTCAGGTCCTAGGATCCCACCCCCTAGCCCGCTCCCATCTGCCCAGGCTTTTACTCCTTCCCTAGCGATGTCTCTCAGTAGGAGGGCCTTGCTTTCTGGAGACACCTTGGAAATTGCAGGGACGGTTTTTTGTCTGTCATGAGGATTGCCTCTGAAGAATAAATTTATTTCTGGGTCTCTTGGAGATATTTAGATAACCTTTTCCAGGTATTGAAGCAAAATGTAACTCATTTCAACTGAGGGCCGAATGCTTTCAGCATCCAATGTTCTGAATATGAGACTTTAAATCATTACAATTCCACTTAAAGTAAATTACTGGCCTTAAACCTACTTCAAGTCTCACAGGAGTTTGTTCTTAAATATTTATGGAGGATATATACTAATAATAGTTGTACATATTTATGGGGTACATGTGATATCTTTGATATAAACATACAATGTGTAATGATCAATCATTGCATAGTTTTCTTGTGTTGAGAAATTCCAAATCCTCTCTTCCAGCTATTTAGAAATATAGAATAATGTATTGCTAATCTCCTCGCCCCACTGTGCCATCAGACACTAGCTCTCATTCCTTCTAACTGTGTTTCTGTACCTATTAACCAACCCTCTTCATCTCCCCTCCCCCACTACCTTTTCCAGCCTCTGGTAACTGCCATTCTATTCACTGCCTCCATGCTCAATTTTTTTTGCTCCTACGTATGAATAAGAAAATGTGACATTTGTCTTTCGGTGCCTGGATTATTTCACTTAACATAACATCCTCCAGTCCATCCATGCTGCTGCAAAGGACTGATTTGCAGGTTATTAGGCTGATTTCATATTCTGGCTATTGTGCTGCAATACACCTAAGTAAGTCTTGGGGTTTTAATCAGTTAGTGCTCAGCTCAGGAATAAAGTATGGCCTTAATTTGGAGAATTTCCTTGTTTTATTTTTTAGCAGCCACAAAGTCAGATAATTCTGGTCCTAGAGCAGATCAAAACCAGCTTAATCCAGTCTTACCTCTATCATTCAGTTCACAGTGTTTGATGGTGCCCCAGAGTAACACTGAGTATCAAAGTGAAAAGTCACAAGGTTTGCATTTGAGTACTGGGACCTGCGGGCCACAGGCTGGTGGCCGCTCCCCAGCCCTGTGGCTAAAATCAGTCCTTGGGCTCTGAGGAACACACGTGTCCCTGGAGCCACAGGGCCTTCCTGCCATTCCCGTTCCTGCCTGCAGTCACCTGCCCAGGAGGGGCTGTAAGTCTTGGTACAGGGCACAGAGCCTGCTTCTCAGCTCCATGGGGACACTGGCTTTCTCCTCCCTGTGGAGGGCCCGTCACCCACCTGGCAGACAGTTCCTCAGCCTGCTCCAAGTTGTCCCTTCACCTTTGGTCCCCTTTACCGGCCCCCTCCTGGGCTCACTTCAGACCCTGCCAACCTCTGAAACAATCTCCAAAGTCTTAACTTTCCCAACCCAATCTTTGATTCCTAAAGTTTTCTTACTCATTCACTCCTGCTAAGCCTCCTTCATCCCCCCAGACATGGCCCCTGACATCACCTGGTCCCGGTCTCCCCTTCCATTCATCAGACCCCCTTAGCCAATGCCCTCCCCTGCTTGGACAGAATCTTACCGGCAAGCACAGGGGCTGCTCTCCCACCAGCACCTGCAATTCTCCATTTCTTTGTACTCACAACCCACCTACTCAGCAAAGCCCCAATTCTGGATCCTTCCAACTACTAAGCTTTCTGCTTCTTGTTGCACACTGCTAAGTGCAGCTGCAGGACACCCCACTAATTACACTGATGCAACAACATGAAAATGGTTTCCTGCCGAGCTGTCACCCCAGCTGCCATCCCTTCCCTTTCTTTTCGTCAGCTCTCAGGTCCATGTTTTCATCCCAAAATTCCAAGCCCCCTTTAAGCACCATATCAAATTCCTTCCAGCAGATGACATGGCCAATTTTGTGATTGAGTTGAAGGCCACCATTGGCGCTCCCTCCGCTTCCTGATGGCCTATTCCTCTCCCTCACTCCCACCCCCAAAACATGTACCTCCTTCCTCTCAACCAAGGTCAAAGTCAGAGGTGCATATCCGGGATATACAATGAAGCTAGACTCTGCTCTCCAGGATCTTACCTTCCAGAGGCATCAGATACACAAACGTGACACTGTGATAGAAGAACAGTGTTGTGGAATTACAGAGAATGCAGAGAACAACCAAAGCAAGAAGCACCCGAGAGGCCCGTACAGTGGCTCATGTGTATAATCCTAACACCCGGGGAGGCTGAGGCGAGGTGGGAGGATTGCTTGAGCTCAGGAGCTCAAGACCAGCTTGAACAAGAGTGAGACCCCCCCCTCTACTAAAAATAGAAAAACTAGCCCAGCACTGTGGCAGGTTCCTATAGCCTCAGCTATTCAGGAAGCTGAGGCAGGAGGAAGGGTTGAACTCGGGAGTTTGAGGTTGCTGTGAGTTATGATGACACCATGGCACCAGGGCGACAGAGGGAGACTCTGTCTCAAAGACGAAATAAATGAAGCACCTGAGATTTGTCAGGTAGGAGGCTGGTGGAAGAAATTCCTAGTTAAGTCTTCTGAGCTATAACTCATTCCCTTTCCACTTCTCTTCCTCCTAAGGACGCTATCTGCCCTCTCCATAGAAAATATGGTAAAATATACATAATGCAAAATTTACCATTTTAACCATTTTTAAGGGCATCATTCAGTGGCAATAAGTACACTCGAATTGTTGTGCAACCATCACTGTGATACATCTCTGGAATTTTTTCATCTTCCAAAACTGAAACTCTATTCACATTGAACAATAATGCTTTTTGTTTGTTTATTTATTTATTTTGAGACAGGGT